GGGGGGACAGACAAAGACTCATGTTCTAAACGTCTGACTGGGGTCACATGGAAATTGAAACCTGGGTGTGGGAAGGGGAGGGGGGATTGTCAATTGTTTTGACTAAGAACAATAATTATTATTGTTTTCTTTGGGTGTAGCGTTTTACGTTACAATCGGCACGGTCTGGTCAACTTGCGAAAACATTGTACTGGAGTGTAAGGTTTTATAGCGCTGTTGACACAGTTTGGTGAACTTACGACAATAGGGCACGGCCTCCGAGGTCCAGAGGAAGTACTTGGTGGGCGTTCGCGGGGCGGGTGCGCTGTCTGCGTGGAACCCCATTCTCCGGCATCCCTCGCCCACACAGCTGCTACACTTGCCAGACTGAAACACAAACACGTGACATAGACATGGACTTGACATGGAAAAAACGTGACATGGAAAAAACGTGACATGGACATGGACGTAAACGTGAAGTGGATATCAACGCGACGTGGACATAAACGTGACACGGACATAAAGCTTGGCATGGACAAAAGCGTCACATGCTTCTGTCTGGAATGAGTATGTGTTCTTACGGCACACGCGATGCTATCTATTGATAACCTAACTTTTCTTTAAGGACTGACAACCGCAAACTTTTTGGCTACTATGCTGATCATTTTTACTTGCAAGTGGTGAACTTTTTACACTTATTTACCAACAGTGAACATTTCAAGCTTATTTACCAACAGTGAACATTTCAAGCTTATTTACCAACAGTGAACATTTCAAGCTTATTTACCAACAGTGGACATTTTATTTATCAGTCAGTGGTGAACATTTTACACTTATTTGCCAACAGTGCACATTTTACTGATTTACCAACTCTGAACATTCTTACTCATTTACCAATCGTGAACATTTTACTTACTAACGGTGAACATGTACTTTTGCCAATGCTGAACATTTTTTTTTGCCAATGTGGAACATTTTGTATTTGCCACTGGTGAACATTTTTTTTAAAACCAAAGTTGAATTATTTTTTTTTTTACCAAAGGTGAAATTTTTTAAAATATTGACTGAAGGTGAACATGTTTTATATTTACCAACTGTGAACACGTTTTATATTTACCAAACTGTGAATATGTTATTAATTTACAATTTGTGAATATTTTATTTACCATTGGTTAACTTTACATATTTGCCAGGTATGAACGTTTTATTTATCAATCATTGCTGAAATTCCTTTTTTTTTACCAACTGTAAACTATATACTTAACCATGTTGACCATTTTATATACCATTGTCGAGCATTTTATTTATTTACCAATGGTGGACATATTTATTTTCCAGTGGTAAACTTTTATTATTTTTTTACCAATAGTGAACAGTTTACTCATTTACCATTGTTAAGCAAGGTTTTTCAGTTCAAGTCTTAAGTTGGTACGTGTATTCTGGCTCACCTGGTAGTCTTGCTCGCTGGCACAGGGCAGGGCCAGGAAGGGGCAGGCCGAGTTGATGCTGTCCGTGAACAGACGGTAGGAGCGCAAGTGGTCGCAGGCCACGAATTCCGAGCCACCTGGCAGGCAGGGCAGATAGGACAGCTTTTTGATTGATTGATTGATTGATTGATTGATCGTCTAATTGAGTTGGTGTTTTACGGCACTATCGACTCAATAGGTCAGCTCTTTGATTGATTGATTGATTGACTGAGTAGGTGTTTTACGACACTATCGACTCAATAGGACAGTTCTTTGATTGCTTGATTGATTGATTGATTATTTAAGTATTTTATGGCACAAACGACTCACTAGGACAGCTCTTTGATTGATTGATTGATTGATTGATTGATTGATTAATTGATTGATTGATTGAGTTGGTGTTTTACCGCACTATCGACTCAATAGGACAGCTCTATGACTCATTGTAGGTACGACAAGCGAAATTTTCTTGGAACAATATTGATGTTTAAACCTTAGGGGTTCAAATCTACTCTATAAAACAAGAATGTTAAAAACAGAATTATCAAAATCCATCAATAAACATTGATTAATTGATTGAGTAGGCGTTTACGGCACTATCGACTCAATAAGACAGCTTTTTCATTGATTGATTGAGTAGGTGTTTTACCGCAATATCGACTGAATGTGACAGCTCTTTGATTGATTGATTGATTGAGCAGGTGTTTACAGCACCATCAACTCAATAGGACAGCTCTATCAAATTGTTGACACTCTTTTGTTTCTTTGCATGGGTAGTTCTTTACTGGTGCTATTGTTGGAATTGTTTGTTCGTTCGTTCGTTCTCCTTAGTCTTCACTTTCGCAAAAATCAATTGAGCTTACTAATTCCACCCCC